GGGCTGGGGTGTGGCTCAGTGGTAGAGCACCTGCCTAGAATCCCCCAGTGAGGGGCTGGGGTGTGGCTCAGTGGCAGAGCACCTTAATTTTTAACATGTATTTCGTGTGTGTACATGATGAGGGAAGTATGTGGAAGTTAGGGGACAGCTTGTGGGAGTGGGTTCTCCCCTTCCGTCATGTGGGCCCAGGAATCAAATGAGGGTCTCTAGGCTTGGTGGCATGTATCATTATCCACTGAGCCATTGTTCCAACCCTGCTACCTTATTTGTTCATTTATTTTGAGAAATGGTTTTACTGTTTACAGTTCTGTGTACTGTGTACTGTGCACAGTTCTGTCTGGCCCAGAACTCACTCTCTAGACCAGGCTGGCCTTGGACTCACAAAGATCCACCTGCCTCTGCCTCCTAAGTGTTGGGATTATGGGCGTGTGTCATTGACTCCAATTTACTTTTTGATGTGGCCTCTCATTAGCCTAAAGTAGTCTAAGCTGGCTGAACAGCAAGATCCAGAAATCCTCCTGTCTCTGCTATCCTAGTGCTGGGATTATAAAAGCTTGCTTTAGAATTGCATGTGTGTGTGTGTGTGTGTGTGTGTGTGTGTGTGTGTGTGTGTGTGTGTGTGTGTACACTACATGCATACAGGTGCCTGTAGAGTCCAGAAGACAGTGTTGGAGCCCCTGGAACTGGAGTTACAGGCAGTTGCCAGCCACTGAATACAGGTGCTGGGGACTGAACTCCAGTCCTCTGGAAGAGCAACAAGTGCTGTTAAACACTAAACGCAGCCTAATTTTGTTTTTTTTTGAGACAGGGTTTCTCTGTGTAGCCCTGGCTGTCCTGGAACTCGCTCTGTAGACCAGACTGGTCTCTAACTCAGAGATCCGCCCGGCCTCTGCCTCCTGAGTGCTGGGATTAAAGGCGTGCGCCACCACTGCCTGGCTGGGCCTACTTTTTTTTTAATGTGAGTTCTGGGGACCGGACATGTCCTCATGCTTGCAAGGAAAATGACGGCTGAGCCATCTCTCCCCACCCCATCCTTGCTTTTCTTATGAGACAGTCTCACCATAGCCCAGGCTAGCCTTGAACTTAGGATCCTCCTCCTCCTCTGTCCTTCCGAGTGCTTCTCTGCCACTCCCAGTGCTAACAGGACTCTGAGTGGACCTTGGTCCGGGAAAACCCTGGGTACCATGGTGTCACCATCTCCTGAGCCCTACGTATGACCTGGAGATTCCCAGGCCCTCACTGACCTAAGTACTTGGCACTGAGACCCAAACACTGGCAGGAAGCTGGCCAGTCCTCCAGCCTGCCTTGGTTCTGTGGCCTGCATGCACTCCATCTAGACTCCAGATCTCGATTCTGCCAGGACCAGCCCAGGTCCAGAGGCAGGCATGTGACTTAGACACCCCGCCCCCCAAATCATGACAGTCAAACGCATCATGAGATTAGGGATGGATGGCGCACACCTCTAATCCCAGCATTCAGGAGGCAGAAGCAGGCAGGAGACCTGAGTTTCAGGCCAGCCAAGGCTACATAGTGAGATGCTGTCTCAAAAAAAAAAAATAGCTAAGGTGTATGTGGTGAAGAGGACGCATGTGGGCCGGGGCTCTGAGTCTCCCTGGCCCTTGTTCCCTTTCACAGACGGTGCAGTGTTCCTAGGTGATGAAGGCTTTAGCATTTGGGGCAGACAGCCACTGAATCACAGCCATGTGGACCGAGCACTGAGTGGGTTGGGAGTGGGGCAGGAGAAGGGATCCAGGTCGGCACTCTGTGCTGAGGGTGGGGAAGCCTCCCTCTTGGACTCACTGCTAGGAGGCCAGGGTCCAGTCCTAGGGCAAGGGAAGGGCCTTTGGGTGGACCAGTATGGAGAGGGGAAGGGGAATGCTCCCACCTAGTCCTACTCACAACTGACTTGCTCCAGGGACACAAGAGGACAGAACCAAACAGAGCCTTGGAGAGGTGGCTGAGCAGCATTGTGACAGGTGTGAGGATGGTCTGAGCCAGTAGGCAATGGGGCCCACCTGTGAGGTGCAGGCAATGGGGCCCACCTGTGTGGTGCAAGCAATGGGACCCACCTGTGGGGACCACCTGTGCAATGCAGGTAATGGGACCACCTGTGCGGTGCAGACAATGGGGCCCATCTGTGGGATGCAGGCAATGGGGACCACCTGTGCAATGCAGGCAATGGGGCCCACCTGTGGGATGCAGGCAATGGGGCCCACCTGTGGGATGCAGGCAATGGGGCCCACCTGAGGGATGCAGGCAATGGGGCCACCTGTGTGATGCAGGCAATGGGGCCCACCTGTGGGATGCAGGCAATGGGGCCACCTGTGTGATGCAGGTAATGGGGCCACCTGTGCGGTACAGGCAATGGGGCCACCTGTGGATGCAGGCAATGGGACCACCTGTGGGGACCCACCTGTGCGGTGCAGACAATGGAGCCCAACTGTGCGATGCAGGCAATAAAGCCTCTCTGCCTTCCTTCCAACAGTGCTAGGCATCATTCCTTTCTACTGGGGTTCAATTCTCCAATACCATCATGATGTGGGTGCAGTATTGTGGGATCAACACCTTTATCTAGTTCTAGAACATTCTGCTCACCCCAAAGGGAAGCTTGTGTCACAGACTTGTCAAACCTCTCATGCTTGCAGCATGACAGTGTCCCACCACTCTCCATGACTGACACTGCTCTACCTGGATGGGGGCTCTAACAGTTCTCCCCTCATAGATGACAGCCATCAGGGCACCTCTGCCTCGTGGCTGCACAGGGGTTCCAATGTGGACATCCATGCTTGGGCATCTGCTTGCTGTCCCCAGTTCATTCCTCCGTGGTGGACACTGAGAGTGAGGGAACTGTTGACACACAGCAGGTTGTTGCTCAACTGTTTTGGGACACCTTTCCTGGACACTGGGTGGACACAGTTTCCACAAACATGCTTACATCATCCTTATATCCAATTTCCCTGTGATGGCTGTTCTTGGCTGTCAACTTGACTACACCTGGAATTAACCAAATCCCAAGATGCTTAGTATACCAGAGAGGGGCTTTTCTTGATTGGATCATTCAAGGTCAGACGATCCACCCTAAATCCAGATCTTTGAGGTGGGAAGACCCACCTTAAACCTGGGCCACACTTTCTGCTGGCAGCCCATCTAAAGGCCATGGAAGCAGCAGCTTGTTCTCTTGGCCTGCTTTCTGCCCTCGCTCTCTCATGCAAGTCCATCCTTCACTGGCATGAGAACCTACTTCTTTGGGATTCTGGTGTGCACTGAAGACCAGCTGAGACGTCCAACCTCATGGACTGAACAACTATTGGAATCTTGAACCTTCCATTGGTAGGCAGTCATTGTTGGACTAGCTGGACCACGCCAGCAAGCAACTCTAATAAATACCCTTTATACAGAAAGATTCATTCTATCAATTCTGCTTCTCTAGAGAACCCTGAATAATATAGTCCCCATAACAAGTTTGAGGCCCCACATGCCAACCAGGCTCCTCACCCACCGTGGGGCCATACCGGGGCACTGGAAGTTGCCAAATGAAGGGTTCTTCTCAGCCAGCCCCCCCACTGTGGTCCACAGAAAACAAAGTGGCTATGCTGGGCCTATGCCAGAGCAGAGCTGCAGGAGCAGCCCACCTCTGAAATTTAGGGCCCAGTCAGGCAGAAAAGTCCAGAAGAAGGACCTGGGAGGTAAGCTTCAGAAAGTCCTCCTGTGTAGAGGGATGGGGTCTACTTCAGACTTGTAGAGCTGTCAGGAGATCATGGCCCAGGCTGCAAGCCCAATGCCCGCCACATATCAAATATACAAGCATCAAGATGCCCAGCCAGCTCAGGCTGGGGGTCCCACGGAGGCATGCAAGAGCCCAAATGACGCATATTTAATAAAGAAGAGAGAGTACTGTTCAGTAGCCCATCAACCGAGTGATGGTCAGACTGAACTCCAGAACTCTCAGATGACCCTGGCCTTCATAACATGATCCCCTTAGTCCCTCTCCACAAAGCCCCAGAACCCATGGGAACCAACAGCACCAGGCAGGCCCAGGGCAAGGCAGTGGCCACTGATTTGGCGGTCTCCTCTGCCAGTGTGGGTGCTGGCCCACAACAGTCCTTTTCGGCTCCCCACATAAGACTGTACCCCTCCTGAGGCTCCCGAAGGGGAGAGGATGGTCTAAGGCCCGGGACCTCCACGGGTTGGAACACTGAGCCAGTTAGAGACATTGGGAAGAGCACATCTCACCTGCAGAATATGGTTCCTGCTTCTCCACATGAAGGAATTCTTGCCTCTCATACTTGGCACGGATCCACTGCTCACGTAGGAGTCTACAAAAAGAGAGGGGACTCAGATGACCTCCCGGACCCCAAGTGCTCTGCAGAGAGCCACCATGATCCTGGCTAACTCTGATAACCAGCTTTCAGGAGCCAGCTTTCAGAGGTCAGCATGGGTGGCTGCCCTTCTTAGATTTAACTATTCACATGGGAAGATCTCCATTCTACCCTCTCAGGGGTCCCTGCCATCCTTCTGGCCCCTCTGGTTCCCTAGATCCTGACTCATGACCATCCAGACAGTCAAGCTGGCAGGTTGGGAGCCTGCGCTCTGTCCACCTGAAACACCCCACAGCTCCTCACTTGGTTCTGCAGCTGACCCTGTATGATGGTTAGTTTTTAATCGCCACCACAACACACCTAGAACTACCTGAGAAAAGAGTCTTCCTTCAGGGATTGTCTAGATCGGGTTGGCCCGTGAGTGTGTTTGTGAGGGACTGTCTTAATGGTTAATTGATGCTCGAAGACCTAGCCTACTTTGGGTGACACCATTCCCTAGGTAGGTGGTTCTCCGCTGTGTAAGAGAGGAGCAATCAAGCTAGAGTAGGTAAGCATTCACTTCTATCACATGATGTGACGAGCTGCATCGAGCTCTCGAAATTGTGACTTCTGTGCATTGGTGTAACCTGGAACTGTAAGCCAGATGTCGTAGTTAGGGTTGCTCTTGCTGTAGTGAAACACCATGACCAGAAGCAACTTGGGGAGGAAAGGGTTGATTTGGCTTATGCTTCCACATTACTGTTCATCATCAGAAGCAGGTAGGGCAGGAACTCAAGCAGGGCAGGAACCTGGAGCCAGGAGCTGATGCAGAGGCCATGGAGAGGAGCTGCTTACTGGCTTGCTCCTCATGGCTCCCTCAGCCTGCTTTCTTATAGAACCCAGAACCATGACCTCAGGGGTGGCCTCATTTACAATGTGCTGGGCGGTCCCCCATCAACCGCTAAGATCAGACTTGCCAACAGCCCGCTCTGGTGGAGGTATTTTCTCAATTGAGGTTCCCTCCTCTGGGATGGCTCTAGCTTGCGTCAAGTTGACATAAAAAAAAAAACCTAGCTGGCAGACCAAACAAACCCCTTTCTCCCATACGCCGTTTTCTGTCCGGGTATTTTTATCACAGCAACAGAAATGAAACTGGGCTGCCATGTGACCTCGCTGTGGTCTGGGCCGCATCTCCGCCTTCCCAAACTTTAGCTCCTGTGTGAGACTTCCCACTGACGAGCTCCGCTGGACATTCCCTCCCTGAGGTCTCAAGTGCGGTGACACTGACATAATCCCTTCTTGCCCCGGTTCTCACAGTATCACTTCTATTATCTGGTTTTGTGAATGTGAGTTTCCAAGCTCGTGACAGCACCATCCTGGCCTTCCCGGGTGGATGGACGGCTTAGCCCCAGTGCCATTCACTAGCCTTGCTAGCCAGGCCTGGCGTCAACCAAGGGCGGGAGCTCTCAGAAACACAGAGGCGGGGCCGGGGCGATGGCTCAGAGGGTAGAGCACTTGCCCTTCAAGCATGCACTCTGGCCCCAGAACCCACATTCAAATTAAGCCAGGGGCATGCTTGTAACCCCAGCACACGGAGGTCGATGACGGGGATGCCTGTGGCTCCCTGCCCAGTCAACCTAGAGAAACTCTTGATTCCAGGCCAGCAAGAGACCCCGTATCAAGAAATGAATCAGACAGCGCCTGAGGAATGACAACCAGGGATGTCCTCTGGCTTCGATATGCCCGCGCGCGCGCGCACATACACACACACACACACACACACACACACACACACACACACACACACACGCTCGCTCGCTCGCTCGCACGCACGCGCACACACACACACTCACAAACTCTCAGATATACATCTCCTGACTAGTAGACGGCACTGAGGTCTTAGGGGAAGCTGAGCCAGAGACATGACTCCATCACCAGGGCCATGACGGCCCTTGTCTGCCCCTGAAGCACTGATGAACAGGACAGCCCCTTGGAAAAAAACTGCCATCACTGGTAACCCACAAGCTGGGTGTGGCCCAGGTGGAGAGTGGGCCTGTGGCTGGGGGTGCGGGCCGTTCTGTTGGGAGCTTCTGAGTTCACCAGGGCCAGGTGGTGAGCCTCGCGAGCACTAAGTGGGAGGCTCAGAGCTGAGGGGACCTGGGTCTTTCGGCTGTCACTGCACCTTGGACTGGGTTTCTGAGTGGGACAAAGGTCCTGTGGCCACTATAACAAAGTACCCCAAACCAAGGCGTTGACATCAGACATGGAGTTACAAGCTTTGGAGTTTGCTCTGCTGGGTTTTGGACTTGCTTTGGGCCATTATTTTCCCAGTATGTCTCTACCCCTCTCTTTTGGAGAAGTAATGTATATTCTGTGCCATCGGATGTTGGAAGTGTGTACTTTGCTTTGGATTTCATAGGGGGTTACAGTTAAGAGATTGCTTGGAGTCTCTGAGGAGATGTTGAACTTTGAACTTCAAATGTTGTTGAGACTGTGAAAGGCTATGGGGACTTTTGGAGCTGGACTAAATACGTTCTGCATTATGATGTGGCCACCTGGGGGTGAGGGAATGGAAGTGTGGCGGTTTGAACGAGAACGGCCCCCATGTGTTTGAATGGCTGATCCCCAGTGAGTGGAACTGCTTGGGGATCAAGATGTGAGTTCTGGGTTGCTGTTCAGGTATCTTCACTCCATCCCAAAACTCTAACCTCCTGGAGCTGCAGACCCAATTAAGGTCTTGTAAGTTGCCTTGGCCACGCTGTTCTGTCGCAGCAATAGCAAAATAACTAGCCGGTGGTGGTGGTGGTGGTGGTGGTGGTGGTGGCGGCGGCGGCGGCGGTGGCGCACACCTTTAATCCCAGCCCTAGACAGGCAGAGGCAGGTGGATTTCTGTGAGTTCCATGACAACAGCCTGGTCTACAAAGTGAGTTCCAGGACAGCTAGGGCTACACAGAGAAACTCTGTCTCAAAAAACAAAAACAAAAACAAAAACAAAAAAAAGAAGAAAGAAAGAAAGAAAGAAAGAAAGAAAGAAAGAAAGAAAGAAAGAAAGAAAGAAAGAAAGAAAGAAAGAAAGAAAGAAAGAAAGAA